GTGGGAGCCAATCAACTGATGTTTCTCTCTTTCTCTTTCCCCTCCCTTCCTCTCTCTCTAAAATCAATTTTAAGAAAGAAAGAAAGGAAGGAAGGTAGGAAGGGAGGGACCGAGAAAGGAAAGAGGAGAGGGACAGGGAAGGAAAGGTGAAATACAGTTTTAAGCCTTAGAAGTTCCTACAAGAGGTCAGGTTCCAAAGATGAGTCATACAAAAGTAATGTAGATCTTCTAATCAGTGAAATTAATCAAAATTTTCAGGTTCTTTGCTTTAATTTTTAAATGAAAATCAGCAAGTTACCATGAAAAATAAACACATAAAAATAGCCAAACTAAAGCCCTGGCCGGGTGGCTGAGTTGGTTGGAGCATTGTTTCATGAGGGTTTGATCCCCGGTTGGGACATGTATGGGAGACAAAATTATTAATTCAAAAAGTGACACAGAATGAAGGAAATGGCTAATAATAGTCTTAAAAAGAATTAATCTATATATTAAAATCTGAATAAACATCATCATGCTCTATTAAGCTTACCCCTTTCACAGCTCATATTTAGTCAAATAATCATATAGTATTTATATTTTATACAATTCCTAGTGTGTTTTATAGGTACAGTTTTATAATTATTAAGTCTTGAAAGACTACAGAATAAATCTAAACTCCTTAACATGACATAAGAGCTTTCAATTTGTGGCACAATATTTATGTTTGAAAATTGATTTGAGAGAGAGAAGAAGGGAGATAGAGAGAAACATCAATGTGAGAGAAAAATATCCATCAGTTGCCTCCCACATGCACCCCAACTGGGGATCAAACCTACAACCTGGGTTGTGCCCTGACTGGGAATCAAATCCACCACCATTTGGTGTGCTGGATGATGTTCCAACCCACTTAGCCACACAGGCCAGGGCAGAATGACCATTTACTTATTTATTTATTTATTTATTTATTTATTTATAATCCTTACCCAAACACATTTTTCGATATTTTGTTCAGATAAAGTGGGAGGGAGAGAGAGAGAAACATCGACGTGAAAGGGACACATCGAGTGGTTGCCACCCACATGACCCAACCAGGGCCGGGGACAAACTGCAACAGAGGTACGTGCCCTTAGCGGGAACCAAACCCAGGTCTCTTTGGACCGCAGGTTGACACTCTAACTGCTGAGTCAGACCGGCCAGGGCCAGAATGACTATTTAAATAAAATTGTGTCACAGTAATCATATATATTTTTTAAATATGTTTTTATTGATTTTTTAGAGAGAGGAAGGGAGAGAGAGAGAAACATTGATGTGAGAGAGAAACATCGATAGGCTGCCTCCTTCACACCCCTTACTGTGGAAGTAGCCAGAAACCTGAGCATGTACCCTGACCGGGATTTGAACCGGGACCTCTCACTCTATGGGACAATGCTCAATCCACTGAGCCACACCAGCCAGGCACAGTAACCATCTTTATCTCATTAAAAGAAAAAAACACTCCCAAGATCTCCACCAAGGATAGATATTAGAGAGTAGGCATATGCTGAATCTTTATTTTAATAAACAGTTGTGACAAAACATTTTTCTTTTAACAATATCAAATAACGTAAGCAGATCTTCTAAAAACTATTAAAATTAGAAAATTTATTATTTTCCATGATAAAAGATAGGAAGAAATGGCAATTTTAGTAGGAAGTAGACCCTAGAAGTGCTAACCACCACAATCTTTACATGCGTTTGGATAAGAATGAAAATAAGTTTATCTATAATAATTAGGGCAAATCCTACCCAGGTCTTAGGAGTTTTCCGTTTTCCATTTATTTCATGAAACCATCATAGTACCCATGTCCTCTTGACAGATGTTTGTAAAATGCTAAGGGTCATAGTGCCTGGTACACACAAACGGGTTCAATATTTTTGAATGAACAAGTTATTGAACAAATGAACACAATGGGCTCTCAAACTTCCCCTGTTCCCTCATAGGTATTCTATTATGTCTATTATGTGCTTTGGTACCTCTCCTTGTCAATCATGATGTATTTCCTTCCCTTTATCCCTAGAAAGGCCCTAGTTATCCTTCCTTCCTCCAGAGATCTAGATCTATCATTACCCTGATCTTGTTTGTAACTCCTCATTAAACAATAAAGGATACCCTTTTTCCCCCTGAGGCTTTTTCATGTCTCAAACGTGCCTTTTCTGAAGCACACAGATTGAAACTGGTTCATGAAGTTCTAAGAAAAATCTTCTGGAAAGCAAGTTCTGCCACCAGTGATTTCTTCACCCATCACTACTTACGAGCATTTCATTCACAGACAATTTTGTTCCAAAATATTTATCATTAGTGTCACACCATCATACTTATATATTAGCCTACTGCTACTAACTCCATAACAATGGGGAAAACATTCACCAAGAGATTGAATATTCTACTACATGGATCTAGTAATCTGAGTTAAAATACTTTGTGTAAAATGTCTAGATTCTCTATCATTCCAGTACATCCATGGCTTAACCTACCTAACAAGTATATTCTTAGAGTATAAATAAATTAGTTTTTTCCTATGGACTGTAAAACTCCATTGAAAATGAATTCTTTACAATAAAATTTTTATGGTGTCTTAAGGTACTGTGAAAAATCAATTATACTTCTTACAATAATCTCAATCTTTGCTAGAAAACCAGTATTTGTAGAATCCTATATTTCAGTCATTTGTCACCTATTTAGGCTGGGTCTAAAGGGAAACTGTCCCCCATTACTGAATCCAGAAAATGACTGAGCACACGTTTCCTTTCTTTTTTGTTTTTCAATTTTTATTAATTTATTTTTGTTACAGATGTTTCTCCTTTTCCCCCCTAAAAACACCCCCCATCCCACCCATTTCCTATCTTGATTACACTCCTCAACCAGTGGCCTCAGCCTTTCTCTAATCTCCCTCAATCAGACAACTCTATTAGAATCTGGAAAGCACATTTATTCTGCCTAACATTGCAGGAAGGAGAAAAAGTTCAAAGCACGTTTGTTTGTTTGTTTGTTTGTTTGTTTCCCCTGCCACCAAGAAGCCAAAATGTTGCCTTTCTCTGTACCATTAAAAAACCCAATACAACCCGGCTGTTGTGGCTCAATGGTTGAGCGTGACCCTTGCACCAAGAGGTTGCCGGTTCGATGCCCTGTCAGGGCACATACCCAGGTTGTGGGCCTGATCCCCAGTGGGAGGAGGCAGCCAATCAATATTCTCTCATAGATGTTTCTCTCTCTCTCTCTCTCAAGTCAATAAAGAAAAAAAAAATTTTTTTTAAAAGGTAAAACCCAGTTCAACATTGACAAGGGTTTCCTCCAGGTCAGGTGCTAGGGATACAAATAAATTATCATCAGACTCTGCCCTCAAACAATTCAAGGACTAGAAAATCCTCTTCTCTACCACCAATGGTATAATACTCAAGAAGATTCAAGTGTGTAAAGGAAAACTTTGGTTGAGGATATAATACCCCTTTCTTTTTGTAGTACAAAAAAAAAAAAAATTGTGAAAAAGAGGGGTAAAGACAATTAGGTGGAAAATATATTTCAAATATTTAACCCAAATCAACAGATTTTCCATTTTAAATATTCCAAAAACTTGTATAAATATATATTATACTAAACCCAGATTCACCTATCACTTAATTTTTTTAAGCTAAAAAAATCTGGGACAATTAATATTTTTGGATGAAAAACAAGACAGATGCACAATCTAAAATATTTCAACTTTCTACAATGTATGCATTGAACTATTTGTTCCATATCAGAATTTTCCTAAATTGCAGTCTAGAATGATGAATATTGGATTGAAAAATCTGCCATCCATTGCAAAATTAATAACTAGTACACTAAAATGTTAGAGAAAGAGTGGGGGTGGGGTAGAGAAGCTTCATGAACAAAATGTTTTAGAATCTCTTTTAAAACCAGAGATACTAAATTAGATGAAAAGATTAGGGTTCCAAGAATACAAAGTTTTCATCTCTTTTAAAACAACTGAATCTAATTAAGAGTATTAAATATTCTATCAACATGTGCTTAACTCATGTTTGGCTTTCCAACTTTGATCACAATGAACAGCCAATGCTTTTTCCTTGTTTACAACAAATGCTGGTTTTAAAGACAACTCAAAATGGAATTCCAGGCTCAATGTTACCACCACCCTACTTTTACCCCATAGGCAGCTACTTAACAGATAATAAATTCTCGTGCAGACCCTGAAAGTCCTATTTCCATGCTAATTTCACAACCCCGTTACTGGCATGATGTGACCATTAAGGTTCAAAAGAGGGTGGGTTGGGGATAAAGGGACTCTCCCCAAACTTGCTAAATTGTATTTTTACTTTCCGAATGAAAACTGCAAGGAAGTATCCAGTTAGCGAAGAATTTACAATTGCTCAAACTGCCGTTGAAACAATTACCATGTTTTTCACTTTCTTCTTTGGAAAATCATCTTTTAAACTAGACCAATCTATTTTCTTCTGATGCTGACACGTTTCTTATGTCCCTCCAAATGAGTTTGGCCTATTAGCATTCCTTCCCCAAAGGCCGGCGGGAATGGTTTAGGAAGCTGGTATTGAAAAACCGTGTCTTTAAGTGGCAGCAGGTGCCGGCAGCGCTGGGACCGGAACGATAGCGGGGAAAAAAAAAAAAAGACATTCCTTCCAAACCGAGGACTAGAACCGCCCTTCCTAAGCATCCCTTGACTTCGAGCATCACTGGGCGGCACTCAGCCGGGTTAGGATGCGGTGTTCTCCCGACAATGCCAGCTCTGCACGCGCCCCAGCTCGCTTCAGATTCGCGATCGCGTCTCCTCAACGCTCCAGAACGCGAGTCGGGGCACAACCTCCCCATCCGCATCCCCTCGAGCTCCCCAATTTCGCCTTCTCCTCCCCTGCAGCCCAGCGCCGGTGGCTCCGCGCTGCCCCCAGCCCCAGGGAACGCAGCATCCCCGGCGCTCACGAGGTGGCCGACCACCGGGACACGGGCCAGGGCACATCGCACGGCCCACCCAAACTTCCAAGAGGCACCAATTCTCAATTCGCCGGACCGCCGCCGCCTCCACGCGCCCCTCGGCTCGCTCTCCTCAGTGGGTCCGCAGCCCCCTCTACCTCCCTCAAGCCCCTACTTTGCAACCTGCGCGGCGGGAAAACGCCGCCAGGTGCTTCCCGGCCCCGGGGCTCCCGTCAGACCTGTGCTCCCGCAGGGAGCCTCGCTGCGCCAACCGCCGCCGCCGCGCGCCGCTCTCGCACACTCACCAGCCCGAGCCGGAGCAGCCATCTTGGAGCTCGCCCCCGGCACCCCCCACCCCCGGGTTCCGCGGCGGCCCGGTCCGGCGGCAACGTCAGCGGCGACGCCCGGCCGGCCCCGCCCCTCGCCGTGGAATGCCAGGGGGGGGGCGGGTCCCGTAGGAGGGGGCGCTGTCTGCGCGGCACAGCGGACCCGCTGCGGAGAGCCGGCCAAGGGAACGCGTGCCTGGGCTTCAACTCGGCGTCGGGGCGGACGTCCCCGCGCCCAGGGCTCCCTCCCCAGCAGGCTTCGCACCTGTCGGGACTGCCGGGGCCTGGGAGGACCCGTCAGTGTTCACGGCGAGCTTGTGAGATGCAGAATGTTCCACAGACATCGCCACTCCTCCGGGGTAGCGATGTTAGAACCCAGTCATTCTCTATCTGCTAGAAGAAGGAACCTCTCCTGGGTTCCTTGAGCCCCAGTTGTTTTTGCAAAAATTCTTAAAGAGGAAAGTATGCATCAGCCATGACCACAAGGGTATTGACCATGAGCTTAACTAATCAGGAGATGCCAGACGGGGCAATGAGACATTCAAGGCTGGGGTCTAGTAAATGTTAAGAAATATAAAATAAACAACTAACTGCTGATATCTGCTTCTGTACACGCAGCTTGCTTGCTCTGCTAAACTCTTGAGTAACCCCTGTCCTATGTAAGCAACCCTCCCCCTGAGCTGGGGCTGCAGTTCTCTGTAGGTTGGCTGCAGTCCCTGCGCAGGTAATAAAGCTCCTAATATTCACAATTACTGGATGTCTGAGTGAGGATGACTCTCCTGGGTTACAACAGCTAGCTCACTCAGCGTCGAATTGTCTGGCAGAAATACGGGCTAGTTATCTTCAAAATCTGCCCAGATTTATGGGCGTAGACATTTTTCAAGAAAACGTGTCCTTCCCGAGGAGCGCAGGTGTGAGCGCAGGTAGCGGTGGCGGCTTTGAGTTTGGCTTCCTGGGACAGCAGTCCGGCGAGGAAGGGTCCAGAGTGGGAAGCTTCCTGAGAAATAAGATTTAAAGGACACGAAAGGCACCTCTGTCCAAAATGACCCAGCCCGAAATCGCCAGTTTAAGGGGATGAAGTAGATTCCGAAAAGAAACGAGGAGAGGAGACGGAGGGAGAAGCACCGGATGAGAGGCAAGTCAAGCCTGCAGGTACAGGGTTGACCCGTCACCGTTGGGCGCTTTGACTTCGCGCCGCGCTCGGAGCCGGTTGTGCGTCCGCTGCTCTGGAGAACATTAAAAATGAAAAGTCAGTCTTCTCTAGAGGAGCTTGAAGCAGCAGCAGACAGACGTGCAGAGTGAACGTGTCAGTGGAGTACAATATCTTGCGATGTATAAGGCAAGCTATAACATTATTTCTATCTTTTAATCAACAGTTCCACTTTGGGGAATATCTTTCAATGGTCTGACCTGAAAAACAAACAAGTGAGCTCGCAAAGGTATTCATAGTATTATTTCCCAAACAACAAAAATGTGAAGGGGAGAAAAGTCTAACCAAAGAGACATGGCTAATTAACATCTGGCATATTAATTTAGGAAATCATGTAGATAACAAAATGACAATAGAGTCTCATCAATTTATATTTGAAAGCATACTAAATATGTAAATGAAGATCCAACTGCATAAAATGTAGTTATGTACAGAAAGATTAAGTCAAGGAGTGACTTTGTATAGTTCAATACCTCTTCCATTATTTTTTTAATATACTTAATTGCATAGCAATTCTTCTGGATTCAATTCTGTCCCCAGGGCATTCCTCCCACTCAAAACATAGGCTGCTGTCTTGTAACTTTCCCACCCTGGTAATTTCTTAATGTAGGAAATGCATTACATGACAGCCTCTCTTAAGAGGAAGTATTTCTTCCAATTAAGTATTTCAGGCATACAATATAGTTTTATCTGTAGTTCCTAGAAAGCAAAATACAACAAAGATTAAAATCCTTGTTTTTATTTTAATGTCATAAAATCCTCATGGACGGTCATTGGGCAAACTCATCAAGAGTCTGCCACCTCTGATGTAGTAATTCTATTTTAGAAATACAAAGAGTGTTTACTTGAGACTCAGGCAACGTTCATGTCAATGTTATTTAGAATCGTGCAAACCACACCTAACTGTTCAGCGCCATGAGAATGGTTAAGTACATCTGGTACATCACAGGACAGACTATTCATAGTCACCAAGAATCTTATTTTCAAAAAAATTAAGTGAAGGGCTATAGGTCAAGACCAAAGAAAAGAAAAAGTAGAATAAGAAAAGTATATGTGACCGTGGCCTGTTTGGCTCAGCGGTTTGAGCATTGACCTGCGGACCAGAGAGTCCCCGGTTTGGTTACCGCTAGGGGCAGTATCTCATTTGCAGTTTGTCCCTGCCCTGGTTGGGGTCCTGTGGGTGGCAACCACTCAATGTGTCTCTCTCATATTGATGTTTCTCTCTTTCTCTTCCCCTTCTCTCCCTGTCGTTCTATCTGAAGATAAATGCAAAAATGTCCTTGGAGGATAAAAAAAAAGAAAGTATATGTGGTTAACCATAGTTCTTGGTATAATTATTTACCTCTTTCCAAACATTTTGGAAATTGAAATCTTGTAGTGTTACTTCTGGGTTGTAAAAGAACAAGACAGCTGAATAGAAAATAGAAATCAATGCAATAAGGTACTGTATGATTTAAAGAAAACCACACATGGTACATTCAGGATGTATACATGCAATAAAAAAGCTAACAATTCTTCATGTGCAAGAGCTAGGATGATCACCCTGCTTTTCTCTGCCATTTTAAGATTCCTTCTTTTCTGGTCAAAGGGCTTCTCAGTAACAATCATTGGTTCAACCATCTGTAAGTAGTGTCAATAAGCCTCCCTTTCTTCAGCTAACCAGAAACTAAAGAAGTCCTGGAAAACCAGGACTTCACAGAAGATGCTTAAGAGGCAAGGAGGTTGTATTTAAAGTAGACAGCCCCCATCTATTTCATTTTATCTTTGGTCCTGAAATTAGTGTTTACAGAACTAAGCAGAAGAGATGCTTGATACAGATTTCTTATTTTTTTAAACTAAATATATGGCTCCTTATCTTTAGAAAAATAATAATGAGTCAATCTGTTGGGGGGAAAAAAGAAAAGGTGACATGTAGCGTCTTTTTATTTATTTTTATTTAAAAATTTTTTTAAAATCTTTATTGTTGAATGTAGAATGTATTACAGATGTTCCACAGTTTTCCCCCATTAACCCCCTCCTCCCCACTCCCGCCCCCCTCCCGCCTTTACCCACACTATTGTCTGTGTCCATTGGTTATGCATATAATTTCTTTGTTTTATTTCTTCCCACCCCCTCAACCACTTTTCCTTTGAGGTTTGTCAGTCTAGCAATGAATTTGTGCTTCTTAATCTCTTCACCTTTTCCACCCATTCCCCCCAACCCCCCTCCCATCTGGCAACCAACAAAATGTTCTCTGTATCTGTGAGAATGTTTCTGTTCTACCTGTCCATTTTGTTTGTAGATTCCATTGTCGATAGATATGTATTCATTGCCATTTTGTTTGTTCATATATTTCATCTTTTTCTTCAAAAAGACCCTTCATCATTTCATATAATAACGGTTTGGTGGTGATAAACTCCTTTAACTTTTTCTTGTCTGGGAAAGTCTTTATATGGCCATCGAATCTAAATGACAGCTTTGCAGGATAGAGTAATCTTGGTTGTAGGTTCTTGCTTTTCATCACTCTGAATATTTCTTGCCACTCCCTTCTGGCCTGCAAAGTTTCTTTTGAGAAATCAGCTGACAGCCTTATGGGAACTCCCTTGTAGGTAACTAGCTGCCTTTCTCTTGCTGCTTTTAAGATTCTCTCTTTGTCTTGAACCTTTTGCATTTTGATGATGATGTGTCTTGGTGTGGGCCTCTTGGGGTTCATCTTGTTTGGGACTCTGTGCTTCCTGGACTTGTATGTCTATTTCCTTCACCAAGTTAGGAAAGTTTTCTGCCATTATTGTTTCAAACAGGTTTTCAATTTCTTGTTCTCTCTCTTCTCCTTCCAGCACGCCCAAGATGTGAATGTTGGCATGCTTGAAGTTGTCCCAGAGGCTCCTTACACTATCCTCATTTTTTTGGATTCCTTTTTCTTTTTGCTGTTCTGATTGGGCGTTTTTTGCTTTCTTATATTCCAAATCAATGGTTTGCTTCTTGGATTTACGTACTTTACTATTGAATCTTTGTAAATTATTCTTTATTTCAGTTAAAGCCTTTTTTGTTTCTAACTGTGCATCGATCATTTCTGACTGGTCTTTTTTTTTTTTTTTTTTTTTTTTTTTTGCATTTATCTTCAGATAGAGCGGGAAGGAGAGAAGGAGGAAGAGAGAGAGAAACATCGATGTGAGAGAGACACATTGATTGGCTGCCACCCACACGGCCCCACCGGGGCTGGGGACAAACTGCAACCGAGGTACGTGCCCTTAGCGGGAACCGAACCCAGGACTCTCTGGTCTGCGGGCTGACGCTCTAACCGCTGAGCCAAACTGGCCAGGGCCTGACTGGTCCTTTTTTATGCTCTTGAGGCCCTCACTGAGTTCATTGAGCATCCTTATAAGCAGTATTTTGAACTCAGCATCTGTTAGGTTGCTTATCTTCATTTCACTTAGTTCTTTTCTTGGGGTTTTGTTCTGTTCTTTCATTTGGGACCTGTTTCTTTGTCTCCTCATTTTGGCTGCGTCTCTGTGTATTACTTAACAAACCGTATGGGGCTAGCTGAGACCAGATGCTGCTTGTTTGAAAGAATTTAGGAAAAACCTGAAGCAGGATCCAAGACAGGCCAATCCTATGGTTAAGCAAGTGGCAACAGCTTGGGTGGGCCTGAAAGTTGGGTGGGGCAGGGCCTCAGGGAGTCACCAGGGCGGGGCTACCAGTGTGAGCCAGGTTGCTGGAGTCCCAGATATGGAGACTGTCTGCCGCCCCAGGGAAGGCTCACCCAAGGAACAAAGGCCTCTGACAGCACATTTGTCCCGGAGAAAGCCCCCTCTCCAGCCC